ATTCTCGACGTTATTAATACCGTTAAGATATACTACGACGACCTCGTCGTTTTAAATAACTCTTTCGACGATTATATCGTTAACCTTAAGTAAGTATTACTACGTCTTAAACATTTTAACATTTTTATAGGCCTTAAGAAGTCCTTTATCGGTTTCCTTAACGTAACGTTTTTCGGTAACGTTTTTAACTATTTTATACTTATAACACGTAAAGAGCGTTTAAAAACTATTAAATAACTTAATTTTCCTACATCTCTCGTTTAACTTAAGACCTTTATCGGTATTATAACTTCCCTTTATAAATACGTCGAACGGTTTATATAAATTATAAAACCCTTTTAAAAACGTAAAACAACTATACTCACCCTTCGTTCTACTAAACCCGGTAAAAGTACCCGACGTCACTTTACGTTAAAGTTAATTATTTAAAAACCACTCTCGGAAGAACGTGAAGTATTTAACACCGTTAAAACTACTATACTTCGTAACATCTCTCTTTTCCTTTATAACGTGTTAAAACTCTTATTTATAAAATTCGACTTTAACCTCGACGGTATCGGCCTCCACCTCTTTTATGTAGACGACGCCTACCTCGTTAGTATTATAAACGGTTTTAAAGTCGTTAAGTATCCGTTAAAGGCCGCGATCTAATTTATCGTCTTTTTATCTCGTATCCTCTTAATATTTAAACGTAACCTTTAGTCGACTAAACTGGAAATCACGGGTCTCGTTTAAACCCTCGGTAAAGTTTCTTACTAGATTATAACCTTTCGTTACCTTTTAACTATTATTTACACCGACTACGACTTTATTATATAACTTTATAAGTAAATATTTATTACTAACTTATCGGGTAATAAGTTATCGAATAAACGACTAATTCGAGCCTTATAAAAAATAAATAAATACGACCTTTATATTATCCACCGTCCCGGTCGTATATATACGATACTTAACGCCTTTAACCGTCTTTTACGGACCGATAATATATACTTAATACACGCTTCCGTATAGTTGGACGTTAAACTTAACGTTAATTAACCGTACTACTACGTTTTTTACTAACACTAGTTATTACTACCGGTTTAAATACACGATAATACGACCTTAACCGTTATTATATGTTATATAACTCCGGTTTTTAAACGGTAATTTTAACTAAGATACTAAGTTAACTTTATATTCGTCACCGTTACCGTCGTTATCGTATAGAATAACTCTTTCGTGTCGGATAATAAAGTCTTACTCTTTTTCGTCTAACGTGACGGTCTTTTATAGTAATACACTCCCGGTCTTTTAAATAGACTTTACGTTCTCCGTTTATACGTTATATAGATATTCGATCTTGTTTACGGTTTATTTTATTACGGTTTCGATGTTATAGTCGATTATCTTTAACGTTTTTATATATTAAAGGGCGTTAAGTTGTTTAAATAATTTATCTAGACTTACTCGTAATATCGTACGATTAAAAAGCCGTATTATAAACCCTTCGGTTTTTTATAACCGATTTTAAGACCCCTTTATTTTTACTTTACGGTCGGTATTAACTTTATATTAACCTTACTTTTAACGTTCGACGGGTAATTTAATAATATTATAATTATTATCGACAAGTTTAATAAGTAAACTATCCTTATCCTTAGACTCGTAACTTACACGACGTTACTATAAAAACAACTTTTATTAATACACTTACTTTTATATAACTAGGGTATACTTAAGGTTTTCATTTCGGATAAAGACCCGAAATTCCTTAACGATATATAAACCGCCCTTTAGATAATAACCGACACTACACTTATTTATATAACGGCCTACTACTTATTTACGGACGGTTAAATCGAACGTCTTATTTAAACTATTTAAACGTATATTAAACACTACGTTAATACTTTATACGACGTTAGTTAGTAGTCTTAAACACTTCCGGTATTATAATTTATATATAATAATTATAAGACTTCCGTAATAAACTAATCCTTTAATAAAACCGTTCTCGGTTTTTCTTTTAATAACCTATTATCGATTTTAATAAACCTTATACCGGAAGTGAACCTACCACTCGTTAAACTTTCAACCTTCGATATAATTTACGAGGTAGTATTACGGATAAAATAATATTACGATTTTTATTACCGGTTAGTTTTCTTTTAACCCGGTTAATAAGTGATGTTACGTTTATAAAAAGAGTACGACGTCACCTTTTTAACGTCTTTAAAACTCTTACTAACCTTCGTTAACCTCTTCCGTGTCGTTAAACGTATCGGACGAACAGTATATAGGTTTAAGTTATTATTTTATATTAAAATCCACGACGTCGTTAACCTTTAACACTTTTCACTTACTCCCGTCGATCCCTTCGGTAAACGCGTCCCTTTTATTACACCTATTGTCGTCGGTGACTATTATAGTATTTTACTTAAAACTAACTTAGTAAAAAATCGATTTTTAATCGGAAAATAAAACCTCGGATACGAATATTAGTAGTGGAAGACTTATAACTAATTGACCGACGAGGAGAAGGCGTTACTATAACCAACCTTACCTTTATACAAGCGTCCTAGGTACCGTCACCTCGTCGTCACTTTCCACTTATTTAACCGTTATTTAACCTTTTTAGTTACGGCCTTCCGTTCACCGCCTTTCTCGTTTATAAACACTAATATATTTTAATAATTAACCTACTCTTACCTTTTTACAACTCTACAACTATTATTATAACTAACTAAACTATATTAAAACGGTATTTACCCCGTTATCTTTACTTACGTTAAATAACCACGTCTACTTTAATATTAAAATAAGTTTCCCGACGTTCGAAGAGTACTAACCCTTTTTTAACGAGACCTTTAACTAGTTACCGTTTTAAATTAAGGGTAAGGAGTTCGAAAGTTAGGAGAAATATAAACGACGTGTAATCGTTTAAACGGCCTACCGTATTAAAGAGGTTATAAATAACTAAACTTTAACTTCGTTAACTAATTTTTATAAAAGTATAAACCGTATTGTTAAGTTAAAAGTTAAAGGTAAAGTTAATCGTGTATTAGTTAATATCGTTTAAATAGGTGACTTTTATACGGTTTATATCTTCGGAGTTAACGAGTAAATTTTAATTATTATTTAGTGTTTTTTAAACTATTACGATAAAACTTTAGTTTAGTTTCGTCCCGTTTAAGATACTAATAACCGTGTACGTTTTAACTTTACGACCGTTAAAAGATTAAGTAACGTAAAACGTTATAATAAATCCCGTAAAAAGACTTTAACTCGACCTTTAACTTAACCAAAACCTTTTTAACTTAAACTTTTAAAACTCGACGACCTCGACGTTAACCTTTTAAAAACTTTAGTATAACTAACCCCGTTTATATAACCGGAGGTGATTTAACTCGATTTATTAAACGTCGATAACTTAGTTAACCTTCTCGTAAACGCCTCGTAACCTTAAACGGTACTTAATTTAATTAACTAACCTTAAACGACACTTAACTTAATTAAACCTCTTTAAACGACACTTAACTTACTTAAATAACCTTAAACGGTACTTTACTTAATTAAACCTTAAACGTTTTAAATATTATAACACGATAAACACCCTTAACCTCCGAACTCGTTTATTAATATTATACGGTAATTTAATACTACTTTATTACCGACTTTACGGGTAAATATCGACGTTTAATTACGGATAAAATCGGAAAAACTCTTATTTAAACTAATAATATACGAACTTAATATTATTAAAAACACTCTCTCCGACCTTACTTAATTTTAAACAATAGTTACTACGTAAATCCGACACTTATACGACGATATCGACACTTAATATCGTCGTTAATTAAACGACTTAAACTCTATCTATACCTTCGCTACTACACGTCTACACAACCTTAAACACCTAAAGTAATTTTCATTTTACTACCCCCGGACTATTCGTTATTCCTATTAAGGTTAATATTATTTTCCACGCGTTGATTTTCCTTTTCGTCACGAGGTCGTGACCATATTCTAGGGGCGGGGGAAGTGTGGGCAGGCACCTACCCCACGTGACGTGAGCCACCCTGATGGCACGTGACCTCAGGTGGCAGGTCCATTCTTAGCATCGCCACAGTCGATAGCATTAGTTAGACAATACAAGATTCTTACCATTCAGACCATACCACCCACACGGGGGAGCCCTTGTAGCCTACAGAATACTGTAACTCCCCTAACTCCTCTAACTCCTGCAACTTTCTTTGTCGGCCGCAGAAGCAACCGGGCGATTGGAAATACAGTCGGCGTCCAAGAGGCACTCCGAGACACAAAGACAAAAAAAGGGCGACAGAGCGTCCCAAATCCCGGCTGTCCGGCCCACTCCAACTTTCTTAGGCTCTACGGAGCCCATACGTCTCTCCTGTGTTTCTGCCTCTGCCTCTGCAAATCTTCTGCAAAACAGTAGGCAGATACACCCCCATCGTTCCTGCCTCCTCCCGCGGTTCCTTCCGGCTGCTGCTTCCCTCCTTCTCTCAACACCACCTCATAATTGACTATATCTTTCCTCTCTGTCTCCTCTCCAGACCCAAACGCATCTTCCTCGTCACTTTCACGGCCAAAATTCCATTTCCCAGCCTCACAATCGCCAACTGTGTCCGCCGAACCGTACTCCAAAGTATTAAAAAAGGGACGTGGCCCACATTAAGCCTTTAAGCCCCAGCCAACCAGACACGACACAACCCGAAAAAAAAAGGCTATCGCCGATAATTCGCGAACCATTCTTTCCCCGAAGCATTGCGGCAAGCTTGCACACATACTCCTTGCAGCTTTCAACCTCACGCAACTTCACGACATAACGCGCCCGGCCGTCTTTTTCGCTCTCCACGTCCGTTCACTGCAACTGACGTGCTTTGGCAGGCGGCTTCTCTCGACCAGAATCGCCGTACCCTGAAGCTCCCGCCACACGCACACGCAAAACCCCCGTCAACCTCGCTCTCTCCCTCCGTCACAGACACAAAGACGCCATGTTTGCTACACGAGTCCTTCGCCAGGCTGCTGCGCACGCCGAGCGCGCTCCGCTGATCAAGTTCATTGGCAAGAGATCAGTACCTGGTATGTATTATTTTGTTTCTTTGCTTTCTTTTGACTCCTGTCCGGATGCCGCTCGTCCTGCTAACTACCATTTCGTAAAGCCTCCATCGACCACTCTCCCCAGCCGCACCCAGCGAGCCCCAGCGACTCTCTGCCCGCCGACTTCGCCTCGGGCACCCACACCTCGTTCAGCTCCTACCGCGACCATGCCCAGCAGTTCGGCCCGCTGCGAAAGACCGTTCGGAATGCCGGCGACCGCGGCATCGGCGGCACCTCGGGCCGCGAGCTCGGTACTGTCCAAGCCGGCAAGGGCGAGTTTTTTGACCGCAACGACCTGCCTGCCCGCTTCCGGAGGTCCCCAATCTCTGTGGCCGAGATCGAGGCTGTGGAGACCGGCGGAGCTGCGTTCTTTGCTTGAGGCTGCCTGAGGTCCCCGAAGCTACAATAATAAAACCGTACAGGCGACAGCAGAAAAAAAAAGCGACAGAAGACCTTGGACATGGGCCTGGTGACGACCATATTGGGCGGCTTCTATTCTTCTCGTTTGGCATGATTTTCGCATTTGTTTTTGTTCCGTTTCATTTTCTTTTGTCATTGCTTGCAAGCACATTTGTTGCCTCGGTTTTGCATTGCACCCCCTTTTTGCAAATACACCCTTTTGCGGACACACGACACGGGCACCAGCCGGGCAGGGCGGACATGGCAAGGCGTTGAGACGTCGATTTGGATACTGGCAGGAGACATTTGGGGAAAGCATGTGCATTGACGTTCGGGCGGACAATGCCCAATCATTGGCGGAAGCGGGTCCCGTGCAGATGCAAGGTGCAGGAAGAAACCGGGCGCGAAGACAAGAGGTCATGACTCGCGAAGCATGCGCATCCGCATGTGAAACCGAGTTTTTACCGTCGCAACGTACTCTTGCGCATTTGTGCTCATGTCGTCCGCCGCTGTTTCCTTTCTATTGCTTTTGCGCACCGCTCCGCATCGACACCTCAGTCGTTGATGCTCGTCCCGTTGCTGGCTTTTGGTCATTCTCAGGCAGTTCATAGGCGTGTTGCCTTTTTGCCAAATGTACTTATATTACGTACTCCTCTCGTACAGCAAAACTTAAGTCTTTCCAATTTTGCTATTCAGTGCTCGTGCTTTGTCGTAGCCTCCTCGATATGGTTCGCACCTGCCGTCTACACCTTTCTAGTCGGGTGTTGCCATTTACGACAGATGAGTGAGCTCTTTCCTGTCCACATGCATACTACGAGTGCCTCGACAGCACATCGTACCTGCCCTGCGTCGTAGCTTCACGTGCCATGCGTCTTGCCAGCTATCGACGTTTATGTGCATCCAGATGACAATACTGTTTGTTTGCAATTGTCGCTGTCAATCAATACGTCGTCACGCCGCCATTTGGAGATTATTTCTATAATTGCTTTATTCTTCACGCATCATACTTTACAACACGCATGCAGGTATCGACTTTCTATACAACAAATCTTTCCACAGGTTACTGTCAGCCCGCGAACACTCCATCCAGCCCATAAGATACTCGGTCGCCGCACTTTTGTCGATAGAATCCTTGGGCCTTCCCGAAGCTCCTCTGATACCCGATCTGGCCGTTTCATTTAAACCACCGTCGTTCGGCCATCTCGAGCAGCGCCCGTCATGGACTCTGCAATGGACCTAGACACGGCCGAGCGAGATCAATATCAGGTTTCCGCGAACCAGGACCAAACCGTACAATATGCAAACCATAATGATCCTCCGCAGGACGACGACGCCAGACGCCCTCGCTTTATACCGGCTCCAGCTCCAGCTTTGGACTGGGATGGTCTCCCATACCTTGTCCGGAGAAAAATTTAGGGTTCCCTGTTGCTGGCCGCGGACGAGGCGCGCCGTGAGTTCCAATGGAATCGAGCCAGCTCGGACCGCCCTGCGCCACACATCCTGTCGACATATGCCGCTGTGAATCGCCAATGGCAGCGAATGTTTGAGCCTGTGATATTCAGCACGCTCATGGTCTACGGCGACGAGTTGGACGACTTTGCCAACTGCGTGGTCGGCGAGCCTGGTTCACCAAAACACGCTCGCCTCAACTACTTGATGCACTTGCACTTCCACTGCCGGCTCCTGCCATACCGCATCGACGAGTTCAACAAGGAAGAACCCAGCAATACCGTCCGGATCGACAACCTCCGGTTCGAGGACCAAATTATGGGGCTGTTTGCGGTACTGGCAAAATGGGACGGACCTGGAGAGAATGCGAAGCTGCTTTTGGAGTTGAGTGCTGCCAGCTCGGGTGACACCTTTCATAAGGTTTCAAATTTTCGCTTGAACGAATACTACCGCTATGGAAGAGGAGAAGAGACTCATCATCGACCCAACTGCGACATTCCATTACTGCCACACAGTGGAGTGCCACAGGACGTCTCTGACAGTGTCGATGATCCTCTGCCCACCCGCCGCATGGCAGGCATCTCCAAGGATGGGTTCGGTCGACTTGGGCGGGAGTGGCAGTGGCACGCCTTTCATACAAAAGATACGCCCTCGATCCCCATTGTGCGTGGCCTCACAGTCAGCCTCCGGTTTCACCGTGTCATCAGCCACACGTTCTTGACGGCCATGATTCTCACGAAGCTGCCGAACCTCAAAGACATTCGCATCGAGCAGTGGAGATGCCTCGATTTGAAAGGTTGGGTGCAGAGCATGCTAAGAATGACAGAGTACAAGGCAGAAGCTGACCAGCGCGTGTCTAGGGACCATGGCCGGTATCAGCCTGGAGGACTCGCCGATGATCAAGTCACTCCGGTCGCTTCGCATTTACTACGAGCCGACCATATTGCGAGGACGGCCCGAGGACGACATACTCACCGCTGAACAGGAGGTGCTCCGGGACAACCATTTTCTAGACAAATTTGTGCGGGCAACGCGGCATCTCAAAGTCTTGGCCCTGACAAGACCCGTCACCGCGACGGAAATGTTCTTGATGGCAAAATATCAATGCCCCAAGCAATGCTGGGCGGATCTCTACAAGGGGCCGTATTTCTACCCATCCCTAATCAAGGTTGCCTTGTGGGAGCCGGGCCTCTCCGAGGAGCACAAAGACACCACCGTCGCCTTGATGGCGGCTGGGCGCATGGCAGTACAGATGCCCCGGCTGCGGATCATGGAATTGTGGAACATGGAGGAACCATACATCTTCCGCTACGAAGCGACGCCCTGCACATCCACCATCACCATGCTGGCGCCCTACAATCCGAGACCGGCCATCACCACAGCGTGCTTTGATTTATGGGAAGCCGCAGCAAATAACCACTACCGATCAAGAACGAGGAAACTGGAAATCAATGCTTGCGAGGTCGATTCGCAATTGGATGCTGGCAACCGAGCGTGTGTGGTATCCTTTTTGCGGCGCCTGAAGCTCTGCAACGAGATCATCGATCCCAGGTCTCTCTGTCAGCTCGAAGTCCTCGAACGAAACGCATTCAATATGCACGGGCTCGGCGATCCTTTGGAACAGGCGGGGGAGGATGACCAAGAGTCGATGGAGACTAATGAAGAACTGAGCGATACAGCTGCCAACATAGAAGGTGCTGCCGACTTGGCGGTGTCCGACGATGCGGATTCATCGTAGATTGTTTGGCGGCGGTCCTGTGACTGAGTGGCTGTTGATGTTGAGGGAAAGAGGAAAATTACAACAATGAGTTTGCACGGGAATACTAGTGTGGGCTAATAGAAAACAAGACGAGAAAGAATAACAAGAATGCAGCCGATGCCTAGGATATCGAAGAAGTGCGAAAAAATAATGATGGATAAAAAGAGATTGACAATGAAGACAATTTTTTTTAATAAAAAAAAACGATCCAGGCAGGGATCGAACCTGCAATCTCTTGGTTCGTAGCCAAGCGCCTTGCCATTTGGCCACTGGACCTGCTATGAACAATGCGATCCGAAGACAATGCTTTTGAAGGCAGGTCTGGTCGCTACGAAAGAGATATCTAAAATCCGTCCCTACACTGACCGTTCTACCTCACTTGGCTGCATACCATTTCCTTGTCCAATATCCATACAAAGTAATGTTGACCTGTTGTCCAAAAGGCAAATATAAAACGCCCGTCATGATATAATGTACAATGCCACTCCATTCTGGCTCTTCTTTAGTGATCCTTGCAGCATCTCCTCCCAAATTGTCTGACAGTCCCGCGTCCCTTTAATATCGCACATGTCCTCATGTCCCAACATCGAATGCACAGCGGAGAAAGTCGTCTGTGCGATCCAAAGTGTAAAGACGTTTCGCGGCCTCGATATGCCGGGGTGAGGCAAAAGAAAGGTTGCGGGCCACTGCCGTCCTTCTCCCGTTGTTCCCTTCCTCCCATTGTCGACGCGGAAGCCGCTTAATCCTTCGACCCCTTGTGGTAGATCCGACCTTCCAGTCTCCGTTGGAACCGACCCAGGTGGTAGTTGATGCTGGATTTCCTTTCCTTCTGTGGCACCCGGGAGTCGACGCATTGCCGTAGTGTTGCCTCGACGGCTGCGCAGCCCGCTGCGTTGTATCCGACCGACGCCCAGCATGCTTTTTATCCTTTAGTTAGTGAGTCACTCGAGGAAAAAAAGGAAGGAGAGGAAGGAGAGGAACCAACCCAGAACAGAGGACATGGCCACAATGCACGGGTCTGTGCCCTTGTTAACCACCGGGTCCTTGACGCGCAGCACCTCCATTGGAGGCAACTTGGGCGGTTTGGGGACCATGTTTGGGACGAGTTGTGGAGTGAGAGGGAGAGGAGGGCGTTTGTGTGGTGGGGAGAACGACGCGGTGCTGTATTGTCTTGTCGCCGTGTCGCCGTGTCGTCGTGTCTTCGTGTCGTCGTCGTTGTCGTCGTCGCTTTCGTCGCAGAATGGCAAACTTGTGATCCAATGGGCACGAGTGCGAAAATTGCGCTTTGGTTTCCGCCAGTCCAGAGGAGCTACTATCAGCACGTGACGATAAGAACAACAGCGCCTCGGAAAATGGACCACTAAATTTGGTGGGTCCAACGCGTTAGTCCCCTAAACGTCCGGCAACTGCATACCCCGCCTCTGATTGGCTGGTGGTCGATATGTAAACAAACGAGAAATCCTGGCCCCCATCGTCAGTTGCCCAATATCAGCGCATGCCTGAGCAGCCCTTTTCCGCTGGAATTCTGCTGGCCAACATTCGCAAACCGAGGATAGCTCGAGATAGTGGCGGCACGCGTTTTCTACGCTCCCACAATACGGAATACCCATCTTCGTCTCTTCTTCTTTATACTTCATTTTGCCTCTACCTTGCACAGCGATATTCATTATTGCAAACAAAACTTCATATTTCCAACCAGCAGTAGCATCAGCACCAAGTTCATATACGCCAACGCGGCACGCGATACTCTTTTTCTTTAGTTTCATGCGTTTCACGAAAGCCCAGTTGACCCTCGAGCGCAAAACGAAACCGCGATGGCCAGCAGCTATCCAAGCACACGGGGCTTGGACGGCGAAGCGGTCCTCGAACGTCCAACCGACTCGACTCCTGTCGCGACAAGCTTGTCTAGGTACATCGCACTAGGTCAGCGCTTTGTCTCTGCGATCATGTCTCTTACTGACCAAACTCGCAGGAATAGCTTCGCGGACACTGCGAGACCGACAATTACTGCCGCCGACTTCGCACCGATACAGCGCCCCCATCCTCGACCGTGGAAACGCATCGCAGTCCCCGGTGCGGGCAACAAGCTAGGCCTGCGCACCGTGTGGAAGCGGGTTGGCGGTGTGCCGCGATCGAGCGCAGACACGCGATACTTTCGGGGCGTCTTCGAGCTGCGTGCCAACGGCAGGGGGCCGCGAAAGCACAGACGAACCGAGCGCTATGTACCCGTCTGGGGCGACGCTCGATGGCAGGCCAGAGAAACGGAGACGCCGCTCGAGGACGATCTCGCCAAAGCTAGAGGTAAGGTGTACAATCGTGGCCCTCGCGCACTGAGGTGGAGGAGACGAGGGCTGACATGGTGGCATATTGGTGCAGACGACGTCATGGCCGTCATGACAGTCGCGGAAGTAATCGACACAAACATTCTGGGGCGCAGCCTCGCCTTTGTGCCTCGAAAGCGAAACAGCCACCGCCAGCCTCTGGCCGTTTCACTCCCAACGCCGATCGAAACTAGGGCGACCGAAAGCCCCGTACGTGCTGCGTCCGTTGATGACTCGCTGGAGGCCATTGAGCAAAGCACGGAGCACATCACGAAACGCGCCAAGAGACGCATGAGCCGACGCATCAGCATCCTGGCGAAGCCGGAGGGAAGCAGCCTGCTGTCGCCAGAAAAGAAAGCCGCACAGCAGCACGTCTTTTCGTCTCCAGTCAAGAGACGGGCCTCCGTGGTCAACATCCATGAGCCACCAGCAACACCAGCAACACCCGCCATTGATGCGGCGCCTGCGACACCGGGCACGGCAAGATGTGCCAAGTCAGTCGCCACCATTGCACCACCGATTGCTTTCGAGCCGACCTTTTCCAGCCCGATCAAAACGCTGGCCCCAATGTCCGAGAATCTGTCGCCGGCCAAGGCTGCCTGCCCGAGCGGAAAGTTGATGCCGTCTATGTCGCCTGTGGTTGTCTTTGACCGGCCAGCCGCAGAGGAGACGGAGGCCGAGTCGCCCCATGAGGTGCAGCGGCGGATCTCCTTCCATAACGCGCGGCGCCGAGAGACTTTGTTCTCGACCATGGAGCGCCGATCACCAGCCAAGGCCACAAGCGCAGCACGAACCAGCCGCCGCCATAGTTTCATGCCACAACATGTGCCTCTGGTGTTTGCACAGGCAAGCGCCAAGAAGACCCTCAACCGGAGGCATACTTTCCAGCCTGGTGGCCTTGGTATTTTCCTTGCGTCCGCCGGTATGTCTTTCGACGAGAACATATCCAAGGTGGACGACGTCCAAAGCGTGTCCGTTTCCGAACCGGACAATTCCACCTCGACCATTGAAATCAGTGGCCTGGATGAGTCCACCGTCAACGACCCGCCATCGGCCCCAAAACAAGACGAGACCGTCGTTGTGGATTTACGCACAAACCTCGACATCTTCGGATCTGGTCCGCCAGTTCAAACGCACCACTCGCCATCGTCGGAGCACCATGTGTCTTTCGACTTGAAGCCTCATGTTGGGAAGCCTACTTCGTCGACCCCGACGAAGGCTACGATAGACGGCAAGGCCATTGCACAGATTTCCTCTCCTGCTCCCAAGGCGAATGGTCTTTTGGATGTGCCCGCAGCAGAGTTAGAAAGTATCAACGACCCTACGGACAACCCCAGCGACGAGTCGCTCGATACTGTCAACGACGAGGATACGGCGGATGTGTCCAATGAGAGTACACCCCGTAGCCTGAGCCCGGAGATGGACATCGATATCTCGGAGGAGGATAGCCGCGAGGTCACCGACGAGATGGGCATTGTGTCTAGGCGACGTGCTACACAGCTAGACGAGTCGCTCCTGTTGCCACTTCCCGAGACAACCGAAACCGAAACGGAAACCGTAATTGACATGGATGCCGAGACAAAAATTACCAAGGCCGAAACAAAAGGCGATGACTACGGCTGGCAAAGCCCAACATCCGCCGAACTGGGCCACCTTCGGGATGCCATGCACACACCGCAACAGGACAAGACCGCAGAAATTGCCATCTCACCGGCAGCTCCTCTCATGGACGTTGACATGGAGCTCCTAGTGGACGAGAATGATGTTGCGGACCATGAAGAGATGGTTAAAGAGGACGAGCTCGTCGATGAGGAGGAGGAAGTGGAAGACGTGGAGGACGTGGGGGATCTGGGGGATCTGGAAGACCAAGCCATTGAAGACATGGAAGAAGTCGACAATGCCGATGCCGCAGCCACGGGCATCGACGATGTGTTCACTGCACCAGCCTCGACAACTGAGGATCTGTCAGACGGCTCCTCGCCAGCGCGCTCCGTGGATGAGGAGAACGGAGAGTATACGCTTACTCAGCCCTTCAACATGTTCCCTGGTGGCGATGATGACGCAACAACAACGATGACCATGGATTTCGATAACCTTGCGCAAGATGACCAGCTATCAGCGCACGAAGACTCCGAGACCGAGATGCTGAGAAAGTTTGTCACACGCGTCAAGGCCGACAAAAGCGCGAAAGCTGCCGCTGCTGCCGAGGAGGCGTCCGCTCGGACCCTTGCCAAGTTGCAGCGCAGACGCCGCTCCGGATCGATAAGCTCGACTGCTTCGTTGTCTGGGTCGCCTATGAACAAGAAAGAGCCCGGCGTTTTCGGGTCGCCATTCACGTCCCTGGAGGGCCGTATCCCCTTTGGGAAGAAGGACCATAACATGAGCCCAAGCCCCCGGAAGAAGAGACGGCCGCTTGTCGGCCCGTCGGATGGAAACGAAAACCGGTCCGAAGATCTGCTTAGCAAGCCATTGTTCGACGACAACTCTCCGCCACGGCCGAAGCGGCGCCGCAAGAAGATGGAGGTCGATACGGGCGGTATCTTCAACCCCGAGTTCATGTCCACCAAGAAGGATGACACGTCCGCCGAGGGCGGCGACGATACCGCTCCGGGTCCCCGCCGTTCGAAGCGTACGCGCAACCAGACATCCCTCAAATCGGCGGCACCGACGGCCAACGGCGCGGCCATTGTCCTGTCGCATATCCCCGTGCGCCTACCTGGCTCGCTGAACCTGAATGGCGACGACAGCTTCGGGCTCTCGACGAGCAGCCTCAGCCTGCGGCGCAATGACGAAAAGGACCTGGCAGCGACGACCCGTGTCAACACGCGCAAGAACAAGGGAAACGCCGATCCGCCGTGCATCGTTGTCGCACGTCAATCGCACGAGGCGCTGCGGGCGATGCGCGAGCAGAAGTCTGTCTTTGATTCGCCTCTTCTCCCGCCGAAGACGGCGAGCCGTGAGAAGGCTGACAAGACCGATAAAGCGGATAAAGCCGACAGACCCGACAATGACGAAGGTCACGGCAAGTCGCGCAAGGCGAAGAAGACGTCGAAGTCGGCCAAGAGCGTGCGCTGGGCAGAGGTTCTGGCTAGATTCCAGACCGATGACGAGACGGCCGAGAAAGGCGCGACGAAGGCCGATTCCGCAGCTGCTGGTCCTGACGTGGGGCCTACCAGCAACCCTGGTCCGGCCGAATCTGTACGGTCCTCGCGTGCGACTGAGCAGCCGTTGTCTGCGGAAACTGCAGAAGTGCCTGAAAGTGCACCGTCCACCGCGACGTTGGTTTCTACTGCGCCGTTTCCGACCTCCGCCCCCAATGCGTCTTCTGCTCCCTCCGCTGATCCTGCCCCGCAAGGCGATGCGGACAAGTCATCCATCCCGCGCCGGACAACTCGCGTGTCGCGCCTCCAGCCGCCGACGCAGCGGAAAATGTTCCCTTCTATTGCCGCCAAGGCCGCTGCGGCTCCACCGCCAGCAGCCGCACCTGCGGAGCCTGCGCCCATGGGACTGAAAGCACTGCCGTCTGGTGGTCGGATGGCGACACGACGGGCCAAGATTGTCGGGATGGGCATGGCCGGCAATGGCACGCCGGCGCCGAAGAGACGGACGACGAGGACGACGTAATACAGGATCTAAAGATAAGGAGGATACCGAGGATGAGGAGACTAATTTTCTTTGGTTGCTTATTTTTTGTTGATTTGTGACAGGAGGATGATACCACCAAGACGGGGCGCAAACCACGCAGTGAGCATTTTGTTTTTGTTATAATGTTTTAGCTGTCTGTAGCGGGGTGAATGAGCGAACCATTCCGGATTTTGTTGTGTTTACGTTTTTCTCGTTTGTGGCATTCACTTTTTGACAGTTTTTGGCACAGATGTTGGTTCTCAGGAGAAGACAATGCATGCTACATTCATTAGATCCGCGGGTCCACGATTCTAAGGGCATATCCCCAAAAACATTGGGCATGTAAGAGGCTACAGGCATTGGGACGTTGGCTTAAATTTTTATGTGGTTTTTATATTCCGTATTACCCGTATTTGATATGTATCGAAGAAGACGCCAAAGGTAATAATAAACCAAAACAGTATAAGAAATCAAATCGCAAAACACGCTCCTGAGAATTTTTTGAACTGAAACAGAAGAAGCGCAACAAAAAAGAAAGAGTAGGGGTGACTGGTACAGATATGACAAACACGAGCGAAGAAATACAACAACAAACGCAGGAGGAACAACAGCAACAAGCCCCATGAGACTCATACGCGCTCGTCGGGATGCTTTGTCCGGATGTGCCGTGTCAAGTTGTCCTGCCGAGACTCAAAGCCGCAGCCCGGCACGTGACACACGCGCATGGGGCTCGGAATGCCCTGTGCGGCCGCTGCCTCCGGGTGCGTCGACCACAGGTGCCGGTGCAGGTCTTTCTTGGCGGCGTGGGCCTTGTGGCAGACGGTGCAGGCAAAGGGTCGTGTGTGCGTGTGCTCGTGCTTGCGCAAGCGGGACCGCGAAGGGTACGGGCGGTGGCACGTGCGACAGCGGAAGCTTGGAGAGCCTTGCGAGCCAGCGGTGGCGGCGTCCTCTGCTGGCGACGCCGGCAGAGACACCGGGGTCGACACCATATCCGCGCCCATGGATGGGTCGAACAGGTCCAGGGACGGGAAGGCGTGCAGGGCAAAGTTGTCGACCGCCGGCACGGGCAGCGACATGGACAGGGGCACAGACATGGGCACAGACATGGGCAGAGACACAGCCGGCTCACACAGCAGCTGCGTTGTCGGCAGCATCATGGAGGCCATGTCCTCGGGTGACAGGCCGTCGAGCAGCAGCTGGAACTCGGCGTCGGACATGGTGCCCTGGGCCTCGGATGCAGGTGCAGACACAGGTACGGCGGCGACGTCAAAGCTCAGCAGGCTGTCGGCATCCAGCGTTGTGGACGAGGCGGGCGACAGAGACAAGAGAGACAGCTGAGACTGCGAGTTGGACGGCGACGCCCAGGCGCTCTGCAGGAGGGACGTGGGCGAGGGGAACAGAGGCGGGTCGAGCACGAAATCCCGAGGGCCAGGATGTTGCGACGACAGTTGCGCTGACGATTGCGCCGGCTGCTCCCAGTCCAGATCAACGTCGTCCCAACCGAGGGGCGAGGGCGTGTTGGGAACACCTTCGAGCCAGGCCAGTGAATCGAGCAACTGTCCTTGTCTGCGGTGATCAGAGGCAGAAGGCATAGCGAGACTGTAAATGAGGTCAAAGTCGTTGGATGTATTGTCAACGTTGTTTCCGTCGTTCGTGGTGGCAATGTAGCCAGTCGAGTAAAAATTGGTGGATTGTACTTTGGCGTCGATCATGTAAGGCTGGATTGTGCGTGGCGGGAGTCTTTGGTCCCGGCAGGCAATCCGTTTGAGAGATGCTTTGGCAATTGTTGCTCTTGCGGTTCTCGTAATTCTTGCGGTGATTCTTGTTCTTGTTCTTGTTCTTGTTCTTGTTTTAGTACGCAGTGGTCGTAGCGGCTGCAGCGGCGAGTGGCACTGGTGGCAGCAGTGGTGAAAATGGTGATGTTTGTGAGCGGTTTGTAGTTCGGAAGCGGGTAGACAAATGTGTCTGTGACCAGTTTAACGACGTAATCAGGTCGAATGCCAGCCACCAGGCCACCAATGGTCAAGAACAAGAGAAAACTAGAAAGACCAGAAAGACGGGAAACAACAACAGCAGCAGCTAAGCTCAAACGAAGGCCCGCCGGAGCCGCGACTCCCCCAAATCCATGTTGGGCGTCATGGTCTGCCGGGAAACTCAATGGGAAAGGCAAGGGGAAGGAAGAAAGAAGCAGAATACAAACCGAGAAAGATAGCACCGAAGGACCAGATATCAAAAGAAAAAGAAATGTGTACAGGAAAAAGGAAAGAGGAAGAAGCACTGCGGCGCCGAAGCACATCGGAACGAGGTGGGCCAAAAATGGCACGAGGCGAGTGTAGCATAGAGGCGGCCAAGAAGGCACCTCTGTGCAGGATGCTACTCCATCAGGGGTCCAGCAACACTGCCAATATACGGGCAGCTTACCGATAAGATGGAGTAGCGCGGTGCAAGGAATCAGACGAGATGTGCTAAGCTAAGGGCTCGTTGACGCCGTCATCGTCACCGCAGTAGAGGGGCCGAGTAGCGTTGTGCATTGGCTTGCAGTGTATGGTGGAGGTTGGCCAGAGCGCGATTCCGCTCTTGTTGCTGTCGATATTCTCGAGGCACGTCTCATGGGACATCTCACGGCACGTCGCCATGGCTGTGTCAAGATTGGGTGTCTCGATGCTGTTGATGCGGCAGTGGACGTGAGCAATGTCTTCCGGCCGTACCCACGCAAACGGATCTTCGACTTGATAATTGATGGGTGCCGCGCTCGGGCACGGAAGGCTGTCATTCATGAAATCCCAGAGGGGCAGACAGAGGGGCGGAACGTCGTCCAAGTGCGATCCAAAGTCGTCGGCGAGAAAACCAAAGTCGTCGCCGATTTCGCGCTGGACCGTCTCCAACTTGAGCCGCAGCTCGTCGAGATCCTCGCGGAGCCGGGAGTACTACATAGGTGTTAGTCTTTCTGTCACAAAATTATCCTTGTGGACTCGGAAACGGAAGAAGAGTCAGGGATGGTAGGTCTCAGGTCGCATGCCTACCTCGTCGGATATGCCCTGGTGGGCGAACGTCTGGTAGATCTCGGAGGCCAAGCTGCAGCAGGCGGCGACGTCGCCGAAGAGGAGAAAATCCGCCATTATTGGCTCTCCTTAGATTCTACCTTTACTATTTGGCGAATTGTGGCCTCGAGGCCGTGGCCGTGGCCGATTGGGTTGGTGAGCAGGGTGTTGAATTGTGTTGCGATCAGTAGCAGATGGGCCTGTGAGGGTGGAGAGAGAGACAGAGGTTCTGGTAGTTGAGCAGGAAGGAATAGTGAATTGCGGGTGGGTGGTGAAGGATGAAGGTCTGAAAAACGAGGTTTGAAAAAAATGGATATCGCCGACTTTATACGATCGATCCTTCCGTTTCTGTGTCACGTCTCAATCTCGGACGCTCCTGCCAAGTGTGTGCCTTCTGAACCGTCTTCCACGAGTCCGTCGACTCATACTGCCTTGTGGGGCAGGAGCGATGGAGACTGAGGCTGCAACAATAACAATGGCGGTTGCTGCGCCTTGCCCAGCTGCGAGTGGAGATACGCTGTGGCCTGTGATTGGTTTATTGGGGGTAGTACCCACTCCACCAGTTGGCCTCATCGATGCAGCATCCAATAATAATCAATGCACCCGACAGAAAAGTGGGTACTAGGTTGGCCTCAACAACCTCATTAAGCTTCTCCCCAAATCGGCGACGCCAAGCTTCGCCTTTAAGTGTCTTTGCAGCAACATCTGGACCTCGTCCATGTCGGAATGCAGCCTCTCGACCGCTCACCTTGCCATTTCGAGGTTTCGTGATGACGGGCTTCAATGTTGTTGGCTGGCTTAGTTGACGTCGCGGCGGTGTTTTCGAAGAAGCCTCTCAATGTCTGCTTGTTTGCACAACTCCAATCAACAAGGCTGCAAGATCAACAAACCCCTTTTGCGCTTGCAGTCGAACGAGCACTGGTATATTGTCTCCTGAGAACAAGGACCTCATGTTACTATGAAGCAGGTCAAATGGAAAGGAAACACAGTACCCTCCGCGTTACTATTGCTCTACTTTACAAAGAATGCAGGTCTACTGATCGTCGTCCCCATCGTCGTCGTCGTCCCCATCGTCGCCATCCTCTCCATCGTCTCCACCTCCATAGACTGGCGATGCCACGCGACACAGCGGCCCGTTCTGCGACCCCGGGTAGCCGTCGACCGTGTGCACTGCCCAGGCCTCGCTGCCGGGCGTTGTCGGCGCCCAGAACAAGCCCCACGGATCGCGCCGCCGCTTGATGGCCAGCAGCCGTGGATACAGGTTGCCATAGAAGCTCTGCTGCCAGCCGGGCTCGGTGGGATCGCCCTCGTTCATGTAGGCGCCGGATCCGGGCGTGACGGCGCGCCAGGTGTCGATCTGTGCGTGGGCGCGGGCGTCGCGTGCCTGCGCCTCGTGGGCCGTCAGCCCTACGGGCTGCGTCTCCATGAGGCTGGCGTGCAGCAGGGCCTCGCGCCAGGCCGGGTTGACGGCGCTGTGGCGGCCGGGCCAGCCGGCGGTCTTGTACGTGGGGGCGTGCATGATGGCATGAAAGGTGTAGCCGGCCTCGATGGAGCCGCGGATGGCGGCCATGGTGCGGTTGAACAGGGCGTCGTCGGCCCAGTTGGCGCGCGGGAAGAGGCGGCTGCGGTAGCGGGTTTGGACGGGCCCGTCACCGCGCCCCTCGCGGTGGCCGGCGCCGTAGACGGACACGAAGCGGGGCAGGGGGTTGGTGAGGCGGATGCCGAGTGTGGCAAGATCGTCAAACAGGGGCTGCATCATGCCGTGGGCGCGCTCGGGCGTGACGTTGGCAAAGAACTGGCTGCTGGTGAAGGAGAAGCTGCCGTTGCCCCTGGGGTAGATGTAGCCAAAGCACATGCCGCCGGCGTCGAGCACCTTTTGGCCGAAGCGGTAGTACTTGCTGACGGCGGCCCAGAAGACGTCCGCCGTCGCAGCCGTGCCGGGCTGTGGGAAGGCAAAGGGGAAAGGTGCTGAGCCGTTGGCGGTGGCAGTGCCATTGGGGAAGCCAAAGGGACCCGTGCCGTTTGCTGGCGGCGACCCGCCCGGAAACACAAGGGGCGGCCGTGCCGCAGCCGGGCCGTCCGCATTGAAGACAATGTCCACACTCGACGACGTCATCGTGATGGGCGGGAAGGCCTTGACGACGACCGATGTCATGACGCCATACGTGCTCGGCCCGCCGCCGCGCAGGGCAAAGAACAGGTCCGTGTTGTGGAACGGGTCGGCCGTCACGAGGCGTCCGTCGGCCGTGACGACCTCGATGGACAGCGCCTGGTCCGAGCCCAGCCCCAGGAACGACGTCACGGTACCGTGACCGCCCATGGCCAGCCAGCCGCCGAGCGTGCCGACGGTGCTGCCGCCGGGCGCGGCAATGGATATGTTGTGCTGGCCCATGTGGTTGAACAGCTCCCACGACTCGACGCCCGCGCCGTACCGCACGGCCATGCCGTCGTATTCCCTGGACGACGAGGATGAGGCGCCTGAGCCAGCGCCGGCACCAACGCTGGCGCCGATCCGGTAGCGTGGCAGAAACTCGATGCTCTTCAAGTTGTGCACCCAGACACTGAGCGCGCCGGCGCCAACCGAGCGGCCGCCGAAATCGTGGCCCGTGTTCTTGATGACGATGCGCAGGTTCTTGTTGCGCGCAAAGTTCACGGCCGCCTGGATGTGCTTGACCGTCGTGGCATTGACGACGTACTCGGGGTAGCCGCCCTGTGTGCAGTTGGTTTTGTTTGCGGGGGCCGTGCCCAAGGAGACCAAGCACGTGTTGCCCTCGGGCCATTGTGTCAACACGTCCAGCGGCGTGTCCAGCCAGTAGTGTGTGTGCGGTGCGATGCGTGACAGGTACCGGCAGGCCGTGGCGTCGTACGCGGGACCGGCGAAGCAGACAGCCGCGGCCGGTTGAGGCCGGAGCAGGGCGCCGTCGATTGTGGCATTGAGACGCGCCCACTCGGCGTCGGCTGGCCACGCCGCCGTGCCGGGGAACGCGCGGCAGGATGCTCGGGACATCCGAGCCGCCGAGACGTCGTTGTTGTTGCCGAAGCGAATGGCGGAGAAGTTGGCAACGTCGCTCTGGGTCAGCTGGATGGCCTCCCAGGGGAAATTGACCGCCGCAACATGGGCAACATGGGAGGCCGAGAGGCCGAGCAGGCCGACAAGGACCGTCCACGTGGAGAAGGGCGCCATGGCGTCAAAAAGGAAAGAGTATCGCGAGGCGTGAAAGGAGAGCCGTGTCATGTGTCCGGTTTGTCCATCGCGTCTGCGTGAAGCACACCATCGAACATCATGTACGGGGCTCGAGTCATCTTCGACCATCGCCAGAGTCTTCCCGCTCGGAAGTATGCTTAAATGGAATTCGGCACATTGATATGTGCAGAAAGGACGGGACAATGGCGAACAAACAGACAGAGATCCACTGCAATATGGACGGAGAAAATATCATGGACAGGGAGACGGATGATGTGCGGGGTGTAAATTACGGTGTCATTGAGGCCTCTTGACGCGTGTGGATGATTCACACGTCGTTCCATTATCGTGAATGCTGCAGCGTTTTCTAATCCTTCACGGGAAGGGTTGTGGACATAAAGGCCAAGAGACGAGGCTCTTTTTGTCCTTTCGCGCCGTTGCTATGAACTTTTTATTTTTTTCACTATTCTTTCCGAATGGCTTCTACCACTATTCGTCGCTGGTTACATCCCGGCTAAAAATGGACAGCTCAACAACCGCTGTACACATATATGTCGTACAGTGGCTACCGCTGCCTGCTCGTGGCTGAAACGGACGCAATTTGAGCTGAACCGATGCCGGTAAATGCCATCAATTTTCCCCGGCTCTCGAAGAATGATTAAATGATTACCAACCAGTACCTCTCCCTCAGCGGATTCGAGTGGACTTGAACTTGTTTATACACCGGCGAGATGCCCGAGGCCTACGGAGAATTATATAATGTCCAACGGCAGTTGCAAGGACGGCTGTTGATACTATATTACAGCCATTGACGGTGGCAATGCTCACACGTGACTATATCAAAATATTCTTGACGTCGCAATTGCATCTCCCATCTATTATACGAAGTATGTCGTGATGACATGCTGCCCCTAGAAAGTAAACAAACAACGTAAGCACGGACGCTTCCATCCTTGAAAGGCAGAGAAACTATGGGTCTTACAGCCGGCCGTCGGATATAGGCTGCAGGTACCAGATCGTCTTATTTGAACGGAAAACTCCGTACGCCTGAGTACGATATACTACCATACTCTAGAACTGTCGGCAGGGCTCGGCTGTTGTGAATTATCTTTCCAACTTTTGTATCGTCGCAAACTGCGAGTAAAATGGGTATGGGGAAATGAAAGGGCAGCGTGGCTTAACAGAGGAGAGACACGCTCCCTGTCTGGGATTGGTTCAATCTCAAGGCCTTCTACTAAGTAGATCAACGAACAGCTCGGTAGGCGAGACAGTGCTAGACTTGTTAGACTTTGCTAGGCTTGTTAGACCTTGATACACCTTGCTAAACCTTTGATCAGCTTTGATCAACTCGGGACCTTGCTTCCTTGATCAAGAGGTCTATTTTTGACGTCGAGTTAATTTGAAAAAGTAATATGTAGAAAAGGGGGAAATGTAAAAAGAAAAGAGAAAGAAAGCTGCCTCAAAAGGTAAAGAGAATGGGTTTAATGAATCGAAATGTCAAGAACTAGGTTGACGTACGGGATGAGCAGATTTCCATCCATTCAGCCTCACCACGACCCATCCGACGCACGAATGCTTTTCCGTTTGACTATTTGCTTTGGCCATGTGCCTCGACGTCTTGCCATTGCCATGCATCGTATGACTTTAAATGTGCCAGATGGAGCACGGCAGGATGTCGGCTCCTGTTGATTTGTGGCACCGGTCTCGGCCTCTCGCCTCTCTTCAGTACTGTATATCTGTATATGACTACAGCGGCCTCCGTTTTGTGCGGCACTCTCTGCCGCTGACAGACCGTGAAGACATGGACAGGCCCAAGGGGATGGCAGGCACCGTCACAAACGCCGGCGACTGTTTGACCGTTGGAAGAAACTAGGGTCCTGAACGGTCAATGATCTCTTATGCCTCGACAACACCAACATCTTTGCCCCGTTGATGTGTCTCCGCACTTGGTCTAGATGCTGCCACGCTGCCCTACCTTGCCTTTGTTTCTAACTCCCCCATTTCCTTGCGTCTTGTTTCCTTTGCTTATCCATCGTGCATTGTGCCGAGGAATATTGACATAACAAGGTAAAAGTGGCCCTGTCGACGAGTACGGAATAGTGGATGCAGTGGTGTATGTAGACTGGTAGAGCATGCCAGGCATTCTGTCTGCAGTCCCACATTTAAGATCGTCTGTGTCGGCCGTATTCCGCAGGGCGTGTATGTATACAGAGGAGTGTAAGTCGTCGGTGAGTCTGTTACCTGTTTTCAATGGCAACTTCGACATGCCCACTCATCGCTCGTTTTACTACCAATGGCTTTTTTTTTATAAAAAAAAATTGTTGTCTTTCCTTTGGCCCTCTAGTGCGCCGTATTCATTGGACTCCAAATAGAGATTGACAGACGGGGTCAAACCGACGAAGCAAACTCGTACGACAGAGGCGGGCTAAGAAAGACAAAGAAAAGAAACTTACCCATCGCGTGGCCAACGGCTTTCAATGTGCCGCTTCCCGGTACGGCAGACGGCGTATGACGGCGTGCGAGACGGAATGATGGACGAACGCAAAACTCAAGTGCGGCCCAACCGGCATCCGTGTACACTCTACTGTTCGTCTGCTGCTTTGTTGTGTCTATACAAAAGTACCGGTACGAGTGCCAAGGTGAACCGAGCGAGATCCGCGGATTACCAGTGGCAAATCTATGAGAATGGAAATAAAAGGGAACAAAAAATCAACAATCACGATGTATTTGTTGAGTCAAACTGAAAAAAAAAAAAAAAAAAAAAAAAAAAAAAAAAAAAAAAAAAAAAAAAAAAGAAACCACTTTATTTAGTGTATCCACAGAGTACAAACTCTTGTCATTGAATCGTGATGTTTCGAGTCTCCTTGTCGTGTTCAAACGGTCCAAGTCGATCATCGTTTCTCGGCATTCCATGTCGACTAGGCTCTCAGTGCTCCGTATTAGGGCATGGGTTCCTTACGTCCATGTTCTCCATAGTCCATTTCCCCATTCAGTATATCCGCCGCGATTTTTTTTTTTTTCTTGGTGGGATTTTCATTGCCACCTCCATTTGCCGACCGATTTGCCGGCAGCTTTGTACGGATGGGGAAAACTTCGAGAAGGCTTCTAGATCGGTCGACACCTGCGCGGGGCGAGGGCAGTCTATAAAGGGGAAAAGAAGAAGAAAAAAAGAAAAAAAAGGCACGAGATGTCACCCGTCCGTCGTTACGAAGTATGTTGGCGTACATTTCACTCTTGTTCTTACACAGTGTAATCTACCCACAAAAAGGACGTCCTCTGTTGGTGCAACTTGCTCTCTCCTAACTTGTTCTCTCCTATTCCCGCCGCTCTCCTTCTACCGTCTCTTGCCCTGCCCAGCGAGCCTCTCTCTCCAGGGCGGTTCGCCCGTCCCACCTTGACCCTGCGTCGGCGAGCGTCGGCCAAATACCGAAACAGGCGGTGCACACTAACCCGCACGAAAAGAAATAAAAATAAGACAAAATAGGGACCAATCTTCAAAAGTGCAGGCACAAGCACGAGCACGAGTAAGGACCGTGCATGTACGACGTAGTAATGACGTTGTAAACAAGTTTGGGCATCGACGGACGACTGGGACGCCAAGATGATATCGTGATCAATAAAGATTTAGGTGAGCAGGTGAGTAGGTGAGCAGGTGAGTAAGGGGCAACTACAAGTACAAGCGTACCTTTCCTCTGTTACATAATGTACTCCATTCTCAGACCCGGACGGACGCAGCCCATCGTCCACTTCGGAGATTGGCTTTCTTGGAAAACGGGGGCCGTGTTTGATTTGTCGTTCTTTGCTCGTCTCCGGTTGTCCCGTGCGCTGCCTTCATTCGGCTTATTGGCCGATCGAACCAAGGCAGCTATGGAGAGGGGGGACAAAACTAAAAGCATCGTGAGGTGTGCTGTGTAATTGTTACTCTGTTTTATGCCGTTGGATGCCGTTGTTTTTGTTGTATTGACCGGCAGCGACCGACAGCCAGCCTCTGATTGCCAAGGAGATTGCCCGCTCTTCCGCGCCAGGTCTTACTGGGCTGGGGCTGCATGACCCTCTCGTATTTCCTTTTATTCTTTTCTTTTTCTTTTCCAAGGGTGGGTTTTGCCATGCCACGAGGACAGACTCCAAGACATGCATGAGTTCCAGCCTGCCAGTCTCCTTTTTTTGTGTCTTTCTTGTCTCTCCATCTCACGTGGGCACGGTTGCGAATAGTGGCACAAAGTCGGCAGTGATTGCGACGCGTTTACATCAAACAGGAAAATCTTGTTTGATGCCCCGCCTCTCTCCCCCGTCGCGGCTCGGACATGTGCTGGAAACGGGAAGAGATGTGCACAGGTGAGTGTTAATAGATGGCCCCGCTATAGCCCGCTGTAGGTTGCAGTTTGCAGTTTCAGGGTGGTATGAGCCGAACGGGAGGGGACAGGAAGCATTATGAGAGGACGACCCAAAAAAGGATGTCTCAATCCCATCTTTGTAAGGAAGGCAGGCCTCCACTCCCGCCTCATGGCAAGGCACGGACAGACTCGCAGGGCATGGTCATTCCGTCGTAATGGCTCCAAAAATAGGCTCCTGATTGTGGATGGAGCGTGGGAGTGTTCCTCTGTTCCTGTTTTGTTCCTTTGGGAAGCAATTACGGCCTCTCGTTGGTCAGTTTACGAACTACATCAGCACGAGAGGTTCCCAGTCAGATGGGAAGCAATAAATGGTAAGATGCTAATCAGACAATAAAACATTAAATGGGAACAAAAAAAAAAAAAACGATGCGAGAGCCAGACGAAAACACAAGGAAATCCTTATATTTCCCAGTCCAGTTGTCTTCTGCATTCCCAAGACAGTTTTGCACGAGGAAGAGGAGGTGTGGACAAGACGGGGTTTGGTTTCGTGGCAAGTCTGTCCTGTGTCTGTTGTCTGTTTTCTGTCGGCGTCTCGGCGTCTGTCACTCCAACAAGAGTGGGTGTATCATCCCTGCTGCTCTTCATGGCAGTCGTAGGGCGAGATCGGCAAGGTGAGGGGGTCCATGACCAGGAGAGGAGACACATTGCGAGGCGGGGAGATCTGTCAGTCCTGAGTTAAACAAAAGCGTTTGATGACGGCCGATTTGTGGCCTTTTTACCCCTTTCTTATTGTCGCATATTCGAGCCCATCTTAAATCAGGGACCAATCTCGGAGTACGACGTCAACTACGACGGTTCTGTGACAATATTGGCATCCATCCATCCAGTCCTGGCATTCCCACGCGCATCATCTCTCCTGATCGGTTGCCTTGTCCGCTGTTTGCTTTGCCGGTTTGGGGGGTTTATTTCGAGACGTACTTTGTAATTTCGGCGCTTTTAATTTCAGTGTTTTCCTTTTCTGACGCTTGTTCTCGTTCAGTTCATGCTGTCTTGCGACATACACAGTAGTAAATCGTAATTTGTACATCCCATCTCACCCCCTCATTCCCTCTCGCGCCCGATACGAAGCATACGAACACCCAACTGCAAGTCTCAGCAGCCTTACAATGAGGCAAGTGGTATTCCGCACATCGGCCGATGGTCGGATTTTGCAAAAGCCAGCCGCCCTGCGCTGCGGCCGTGTTGCTTTGGATGTGCATGAGACGGTCACAATGGCGGCCATTTTACTTTGATGACCACAAACGACTTACGTACTGAGACAGGTACACACCCCTTTCCCATTAGCTTTTTCTTTGTCAGCCCTGTAAGGAAGCATGTGAGGAGAATATGGATGGACGATGAGGGGACCAAAGAAGCGACTGGCGGCAGCGGCGGGCCTTTTGTCCTTTGCTGTTGGGGCGTCTATCGTTGGTCTGATGTCAACAGACGCACAAACGTAAGGGGTGAGACAACGAATGATTTTATATATATATATATATATATATTTTTTTCCCCTCTTTCTTTTGACGCATCTCGCATATTCTTGCTGCACCTCAGCTGGCCTTGGGCTTCAGCTGGCCAAAGCTCGTCCTGGCCAAAGCTCGAGCGTTTCCCCAACCAGTGACAAGATTCGCCAATTCGCCACTGTGACGAGCCGGACGTGTGGCAGGTAATTGCGTTGGTCGTGGTGAGAAGAAAACACAAAACTGATCCTCACGAGCCGCTTTGAGCTTCTTCGTCCCAAAGCAGCAAGGCGACGCGTGGATGCTCAAGTCTTTGATGGCCTTCTCTTTATTTATTTTGTTACTTTTTCTCCTCTTTTCTCTCTCATTTAGGCCAAAGTTACGTAACGAGGCAAGTCTTGGAAAGCCTGGGTCCTCGTGCAAGACATGGCTGCTTCATTCCGGGAGTTTATTTCCAGAGTGATTTTGTGGCGTCTTCACGTCGCCTTTCATGACGTCCTGAAGTCCTTTTGTGTCTCATTGTTTTTCCACTTGACCCTGAGGGCTACCTATTGTCCACTTTCGTGAAAAGCTAAACGAGGAGACGATACACGAGAAAGGCTGTGGCTGCGCCGCCAAAGACCTGGTTTCGTTTCGTTCTCCCCTTATGACGCTGTGGCGTTTTTCGTTGTTCCACTATGGCTGCCCGCGCTCTCTGTCCATGCAAAATGACTTGGATATTCCTGAATATCCTGGAAGAGCCAAGATTGTTACTGCATAACCTTGGACAGCCTTGGGACAGCCTCAGGCGCCTTGGTCATCGTCTGCGCCGCAACCTTGCGGGAAAAGCTTGTCTGAGATTAACCCACGTCTTTCGCGATGGGCGGCACGACATCTGGCATTGTACGACAGTAGATTACCTGCATTTTATTGCTCGTGTCTCTTGTCCGGGGGCGGTATTTTATTTTATTCTTTTTATTTTTTTGTTTATTTTTTTGTTTATTTTTTTGTTATTTTTTTGCGTTTGCCATTCCAACGCAGCCTTGCTGAACTGCTTTACTTGGCCACAGCGGCTCGCCCGAGTCGGTGACAGCGAAGAGCCTGCATTAACCCTTTCCCATTGTTTCTCCGTTGCGTGTTGGCTGAGGGGAAATGCGTGAAAATGGATCCTTTGCGATGCACGTCTGAGCCAACAGCCTCTGTGACGTTGAAGTGAAAACTCTGATTTGGATGATGACATGATGTTTTTTTATTCTTTTTTTTATTCAATACAATCAAACCTTTTTATATTCATCTTGGTTCTTCCCCTCTATTTGCCTCCAATATGAATACGTCTGTCGGCTACGCCGAAGCCGATTCCATCCAGTCAATTCAATTCAGTCGACTCAATTCAGTCTCAACTCATGGGATCAAGACACGAGATGCTGATACGAATGGCACCTAAATATACTGTATGTTGTACTGCCGGCTCTGCTTCACATGCCTTTTAATTTTTCTACTTTACATCTGTCTTTGAGGTAGTGCCTGCGCTTGTTTCGATGTCGATCGTACGCAGTTCATTTTCTTTCTACGTTTCTCTCCTCTTTTTCTGCTTGGAACAAAAGGCTGAGGGGATAATCTTGTCACCAACTACCTCTCGCACCCCACAGCACTTTGCCTCGCTTCGCTTGCCTCCCTCGCCTCCTTATCTGGAGCCAAGATGGGCGATCGCCGTTACTATGGGTACTTTGGCCTTGTGGAAAAGAAAGCCCAAGCATGGAAGACGAATTGAAAAAGTACACTCATCGTACGACTTACTTGCTCCGTATGCACTCTCGCACTGTACTTTTGCCAACGCTCACAGTACTGAGTTTACGAATACGGGGCAGGAAATGTACTTGTTTGCGAGGTGTGACCATGGGATGGCAGATGGCCCAATATTGGACGACGTGGCGAGAGAAGAAAGGAAGACAAAAAAAAAAAAACCCCAAAAAAAACCATAGTTTCTTCCCTCATACGGTGAGCAGAGAGACCGCCATCATCCCATGCCTATCCCGACTCTCACAACGACACATACATGCGGCCCTGCTCTTTGGTGCCTTTTGGAGTAAGCGGAACCGTCTATGGCCGTCATCTGTCTGACATTGAATGTCTGTCGTCAACGTCATCATCATCATCATCGCCATCATCGACGTCGCCGTCATCGTCGCCAGATTGTTATTTTCATCCGTTTTCTCCTCAGACCGCCATTCTCTTGACTTTCCGGTGTTTGTTACTTTACCATATTTACTGCTCGGTGAAGGTGAGACGTTAGGGCAGCCAAGAGGATCGCTGCATGACCGCTAAACAGAGCACGCTATCAGGCTGCGTCGTAATTCGTAGGCTTGCTCCTTATTTCCATATGCGTAGCACCCTCGGACTTGCTGACTTGTCCGCCGGAATTTGCCGTGAAAGGCAATGCCCTGTTGAGCAATGCCGACGGCCAAAATGGACATGAAAGCCACCATGACAAAACGGGCAGGGAAACCAGCCTTTCGGCGCCCGAGAGGGCCCCAGTTTTTGGTCAATCTGTGCATCTACACGGAGTTGCCCCTGTTTTCATCTCCGTTGCTTCCTGCAGGCTGTAAGCAATAAGGGGGGAATCCTCTGTACGACAAAAACTCCATCTGCTGCCGGTGCGTCCATCGGGATCCGTCTGGTAGCTTACACCTGGTCGTGATGATCTTTGCAATTGAGGATTGTCCGTGGTCCTTGGTGCACGCCGAGGCACAAAATACTAGGGCAGAAAATAAACAATTCAATAAAAATATAAATAATGAATAATTCGTACATAATAAGTCTGTCAACCAGATGATTGTCGAATGGACGGAGCAGGTACGGAGCAAGTCTGACAGCAGACCAAGCCCGACACAAGAAACCCCTGCAGGGCGGAGCCGCATTTCGTTGCATGTCGCACTCCTCGTCCTCCGTATTACTCTGCATTTTCGCCATCATGACGGAGACCAGGGGCTCAGAGGGGAGATCCAGGCGAGATCCAGAACCGATCCAGGACAGTGGCCACAAAGGGAAGCTGGCAAGCCTCGTTTACGTTGCATGCGACGTACGCTGGTATCCTGCTCCTCCGCAGGGCCACCAAAACGTCTGGTGGCTGCCGAGAAAGAACCGAACAGGGACGAGTCGTCTCACAATCTCCCGTCCCCAGTCTGCAAAATGTTTAGATTGGCTCGATTGGGACATTGTGCCGACGCCGGGGATCGTCAAGGAGGAGGAGGAGGGATAGGATGATAGGATGACGAAAACACGGAGAACATGTCCTCTTTCGAAGACGTTTGAGACGAGACGAGAGGCGCAAGAAATGAGTGGTCCCCGTCTCGTTCCCATAGGGCGCAGTTGTATCGCCAAAGACGACCAAAAATACGGACGGCGTCCGCCAGTGCATGAAAGGGCAGGCAACTGGGTCCCATGTCTCTGGGTCACGCTATCAACAAGCGCCGATGTGAAACGCCAGATCCAGTGGTACATATGCTGTATGTAATAATACAGAATACGCATCGAAGAGACCACCAAGCCCGGCAGCTGGCAGACCACCTTTGCTTTGTATCAAGTGGTACCGCCGGTATGCACGGAGTATAATAGGACAAGACGGGAAACAGTGGTGGCGTGTATGCAACTCAGAACAAACAAAAGGAACCCACAGCTACCAAAAAGCCAACAAACGACGCCGCAGCGATCACCTTGAAACCGGGCAGAATACGTTGAGGTCGCCGTACGCCGCCAGCTTGGGCGATCATGGCCCAAGACCTGATGGACCAGGGGCGGTCGGCAGTGCAAGTCTGCAAGTCTGGGAAAATGGAAAAAGGCAAAAATATAAAAAAAAAAATAAAAATAAAAATAAAAAAGGAGAACAGTCTTTGTGAGTCGCGCGTTTGGTTAGCTGACGTTGCTTGCTGGAACTGGAAACACGGAGGTGGTAAAGTCAAGAAATGGCAGCTGAACGAAAGTAGACAGCTGAGTAAAAGTAAGAAAATAAAATGTATATAAATATTTTTTTTTTTTTAAAAAAAAAAAAAAAAAAAAAAAACTAAATAATGAAAGGGAACCTAACGGTCATTTTCCCATGTCCGTTGGTTCAATACACGTACAACAATACACGTAGACTATGATACAAAGCCAACTGACGACGCCTCACCGCCCTCGCTTGGATGCGGCCTGCAGGAACTGCCGGACAGCCGGCGATTTTGCGATGTCGTCGATTTCTTCGATTGCATAGACCAAGTGGAGGCAGGTCAGAAGTCAAGGTAACTTACGTCGTCCTCCGTACAATACAACTGTTTCCTCCTCCCTGTTTGACTCTAGTCGATTTACAGGGTCCATTCCTCCACCCCGTCGCCTCTCTCACCTTGCAGCCCTTGTCCGCAACGGTGAGGGCTTTTGTTTTCGGCGGATTTGGTCATTTGTTCTAGAACCGTTCTAGTTGTTTTGCCCTCTGGCTGTGTCCTGAGTTGTCGATTCTGTTACGCAATGCTCCGGGCCTTTGGGAAGCGTCTTTAATCAGACGGGTCAGACGGCTACTCGACTGGCCAACGTCCGGAGGATGCATTTCCTCTCCTTTGTCTTTGCTGTCGAGTTGCGTCGAGTTACCGACTATGGATACGAGTCAATGGCCATTGACCCTAGAACTCGTATCGAATACAAGCGAAGCCTTTCAAGGCGGACCAAACATGCAAGGGACACGTACGACATATAGGGTGGGGACGAAGAGAGGAGATGAAAAAGAAGGTAACAAGAAAAAGAAAAAGGAACAATCGAACAAAATGGAAGCTTGATAGTCCGAGAAGAGATTCTTTCTGTCTATACGACGTTCTGTTTCTTGCCTTTTGTCTTCGCCCCTCATTCCCCCACTTTAAAATACAATAATGATTGAATGGATTTGGCAAGTCGACCCGAGTAAAATAAAAATCAATAAAAAACATTCTTACCGCCGATGGCCCAACGTCAGCTGATGTATACGGAGTCGATGTTCTTGTATAAGAAAGACCGAGACAATCAATGATGTAAACATATGACACAAAACGGAGCATCAAGGCAAATAAGCAAGGACGGTTGGTCGTGACGATGGCAAGATTAAAGTACTCGATCGACGCCGTGTAGACGTGCAGTTGTTCTTGGCCGTGAGGGGCGAAGGGCTGGACGGTGGAATCGAGTGTCTTTCACGAAAGTTGGAGGGAGGAAAAAAAGAAACATGAAAAAGAAAACACGAAAAGGGAATGTAACCATCCAGGCGGTTCCGATGGAGCCAGGACACGACTGGACACGACTGGACACGACTGGACAGTGTCCCATAACGCTCCAAGGGCGTCGAGGAAAAAGCAAATGGCCCGGCAGCAATGCGGAGCATGGGAACGGCATGGGGGGTGTTGGCAACTGGACACCTCTTGGACCTTTTCTGCAGTCCGGCTCGGCCATACACCGCACGGCCGAGCCAAGAAAGGAGCCAAGGAGGAGCCAAGAAAGGAGTAGACTGACCAGACCTCAGCGCGGCGACAAGAATGACAGACGACTGTTCCGGAAACGGCAAGGGAGTTTGTGACGGGCTCGTGACGGCGAGACAGGCCAAGGGGTGTCCTGCTGGCGTCGATTCTAATTTCTCCAGTCGCACATCGTATTCCGCCATATGGACTAGAACTACGGAGTTTGTCGTGCTCCGTACCTTGTTACATCAACGCACCGCGCTGTCCGAGACGCGCAGACATGGCAGACGGTTTGTCGTCTTCTCTCTTCTTTTTTTCTACTTCTCTTCCAACGTCGTGAACTTGTGACCGTCAGATCTCACAACGCATCGATGCACCCATAAGATACCAGCGTCGGTGCTCGGAGAACAAAGTCAAACCGCCGCAAGAGCAGGCCGTGGACGATGCACTAGCTGAGGCTGACAGTCCGTCCTGCAGGTTGGCTCGATGCTCGATGGCTCTCACGTTATTGGCGGGATTTGGCACCAGCCCAGCAGCGTCCAGGAGCATTCCGCCAACCCGTACGAAGTATAGTTTGCCCGTTGATTGGAGCCCGGGGATTGGCACAAGCGTAGCCTTACGGGACATGGGAACCAGTGGGTACAGACGACAAAACAGACAGCCAAGACCGACAGGGGGCTGCGTTCCCACATTCTTGGTCGTCGGCGGTTTTGGTGGACGTTTTGCCCGGGGGCCTTCACCGCAGACAGTGACAACATGCAATAGTATTTTCTCCATCGACACACGCCCTACGGCGTACTAGCACTTAGTTCCAGGGCCGGCAACGCCAACGACATGGTCCCCTGCGAACCGTACGTTGCACGCCGTCATACACCGTGATTGCTGCGTCCTTTTATCTCACTCTGACGGGGAGTTTTGCGTTGCTCACTGAAAAGAGGAAAGCTCTTGCTGACTCGGCCAATGTCGCCGAAACGAAGCGGCCGAATCACGTCAGCCGTCTTTCCTGTTTTTTTTTTTGTTGTCTTTTTTCTTTTTTGTTTCTTTTCTTTTCGTTTTCTTCTCTCTTTGTCACAGCGCCTGGGAGGCTTGTGCGCGTCAATCTCGATCGATGTGGTATATTCGACGATGCAACAATTAATAATCGAATAAAATGGCTAGATCACAGACACCGTTGTCTGCGTTATGTTTGCTATTTGGAAGCACCTCTAGCTTGCAGCGTTGCAGTGCTACGGTGCGAGATCCTTCAGACTACGGAGTACGCCGTCTGATGAGTCCCAAGCGCCTGCATCATCCCAACATCCTTCGTCCTAGTCTATTTACTCCGCGGCGTTTTCTCTCCGCGGGAAGGCTATGATGCAAAGCGACAGTATCGCTGCCGGCCCCGGCTGTCCGTCTGATATGAGAAAGGAAAACGACTATTGTGAATTGGTCTGAGATGGTCCACATTCGCGATTTTTCGCTTTTTCGTCCTGGTCCTTTCTACAAAGTATCTCTTTTTCTTCTCCTTTCGACAACATCCACCAACAGCATTCCTCCGTATTTGCGGTCGGAGCAGCCCTGCCCAGCAGAGTAGGTCTCCTTGCTAGCGTGAAACCTTTTGGGCGTGTTCTCCTGTCCTTTTCATTCATGTGCAAACATGGAACGACGACCTACGAATTACGGAGAACGACAAACTACGACAAACTACGACAAACTACGACAAACTACGACAACCCAAAGTACGGCATACGGGGCACGGAGCACAGCAAGGCAGTCGGTCGTATTACCAAGCCCATGTCGTCCAATTAGCCCCTTTTTAGACAGCTCGTTATTTCGTTCTTGTCGTTCTTCACCTGGTATTCCTTTCACCTCTTTTCGCGCAGTGGCGTGCGTCCTGTACCCTGTTGATCGTCGTTGTGGTCCAAGTCCCGACAAGGCTTAATTCTTTGTTTGCACTGCACTCATGTATGACTGCGACCCTAACTGCAGAGGGCAACGTAAAAGACCAGCCCCTTGTCTGAGCCGCTTGTCGCGGGAAACGAGGAAACCGCGCAGTAAGGCGCCGTCTTGCGAGAAGGACGAGGGAGGAGAGAGAGAGATAAACAGAGTTGCTTAGTTGCTGACCACGAGATACACGCCGGACCCTGTCCCTCATGGCATCGGATGGACAATCGCAGCCTAAATTGGGCATAGTGAGTGAGCCCCGTCCCCCTCCACGTCTTTTCTGTAGAGTTTATTTCATGTGCCCGGCTTTCGTGTGCCCGGGCAGGCCAACGTTCCGGCGACTGGTGCAGTACAATGTCATGTTTCCCGATCGAGTTGTGCCGGTATGTTGTCCACAAGTACGAAATAGGGTTACTTGCGATACGAAGTACGAAAGCATGCGAGCGTGTTAGTGTTTGGGGCCTCGTCGTTCCGGCCAAGAAAGCCTAGGACCTCTTGACATTGTTTCGTTGCATTTTTGTTGCTTTTCGTCTTTTTTAGTTTTTGTTTTATTATCGTCATTTCCTTCCACCTCCCCTTCTCATCATCTGCGTGGCAAATGTGCACTGGCCAGAAGCAGGACCAAGACTCCATCGTGACCACATTGGCCGAGGACGAAGCGGAAACGGTAGAAAGAGAGAAAGGAACGACCCTGGCACAGCTGACAATGCTCGTTCTGGTTGTGCTGCTGACGCTGCCATTCGTTGACTCAACATCCCCTGTCCCAACTGTCAGCTTTCGTTTTGTTGCCTGCAGCCTGTTGACACGCTCTGCTCCATATTATTTGCTTTTGTCTTGGCCCTACAGGGACGGGGGTTAAGCTCATGGTACCAATACTGCTTTGCGG